TGTCCTCGCCGGGATTCAAACCTCGGACCTCTCAAATACGCACCGAGTATGCTGACCATTACACCAGGAAGGCATGCTAAAAAGGCGGGATTACCTTATGTACTCCCACTTTTAAAGAGTGATTGGGGATTAGGGGACCCAACTGCCAAATACTGTGTTGAAGAATCATCATCCACCACCTTTTTTAGTTCGGGCGCAACTGTAGCGACATTAGGTTATTTCGAAGCAGGAGACATGAAAAATGAGCAACGTCCTCGCCGGGACTCGAACCTATGACTTCTCAAATACGCGTCGAGTGTGCTGACTGTTACACCACGAAGGTATGATAAGATGTTCTAAAGAGAGTGGCTAAGCACCAACTATTCACGTACAGAGCTACTTCAAACACGCGGCGTAAACTCGGAACTTACTCTCTTACTACTACACACTTTTAAAACCGCTGCTTAAATGCTGATTCCGAACTCACTTAGATTTGCAATCACGTCATTAAAATTCACATTCTGGCAGGAAACTGAAATCAGAAGAAAGGAAATTTTCTAAAACTAAAAAATAAGTGGTTGGAATAAAATAAAGTCTTTACAAACTCAAATGTATAACAGAACATTATGCAATCACATTTCGATGATTTTTTTAATAGATAAGTAGAATAAATTATAAAATTCTATCTTTTTATTGACATAGAAAATATCGGTGCAATTGTTTTGAAAATTAATTTGATAACAATTGAATTTTAAGTAGAATTTATTTAAATATATTAAATTTTAAATGTAAGCAATAATGAAATAACTGGAAGCAGAAAAACAGTTTACTATAATTCGATTTATGAATGAAGTAAATTATGCCATTCAACTATTTTGGGCATATTAATTTAACGCACATTCTGCTATGCACTAAAATTATACATAATATTTCATAGATGTAAAAATACTAAAGATTTGAAACAATTTAATGTTAAGCATTTCAGTGATTAGAAAAAGTTCTCTCACTTGTTTTATCAGAAACAGCTGAAAGTAATAAACATAAACTCTTATTCTGTTATTTTATTTTTGCAAACAGTGGGCGTTAAAATAATTTGACGATTGAAAGGGAGCTTATTGCACATACTTGATCAGGACTGAAGAACACCTCTAATGTTCTATCATCCCTAAATATTTAAATTCATATGAAACATATTTTTCTATATAAAAATCGAATGTTATACTATCAGTATCTTAACAATGATACAAAATTTAGGGATTTAGTACTTCGGAGACCTAAAGTTGTAGAGTCATTAGGTTAATTGGAAGCAGAAAAGATGAAAAATATGCAACCGCCTTCGCCGGGAATCGAACCACGGACCTCTGAATACCGGCACAGCGTTTACACCACGAAGGCACTCTAGGGAAGTGGGAGAAATACCTTATATACTCCCCTTTTTGAAGGGCGACTAAGGTTTTAGGGGACCTAGTCGCCAAATCCTGGGTGCGGAGAATCATCACCCACAACTCTTTTAGTTCGGGCGCCACTTGTAGCGTCATTAAGTATTTTTTTGGAAGCCAGAAAGATGAAAAATTTAGCAACCGCCTTCGCCGGGAATCGAACCACGGACCTCTGGATACCGGCACAGCGTGCTACCGTTACACCACGAAGGCACTCTAAGGAAGTGGGAGAAATACCTTATAAAGTATACCGACAAATGAGAAAAAATGAAAATGAACGGAGGTAATTATAAAATTTAAAAATATAAATGTATCTCGTAGTCTTTTATCTAGTGTTTTATACATATTATTGTATCGAAGGCACTGATTTTGCACAAAAACTATGATTTCATAACAGAACGTACGCTCCTCCCCCTCGAAATGCGTGGAGCTTCTCTGTGAGACCAATCTAAGTTTGAATGCTGCATAATTTTAAATATTATAACACATCGGAATTTTGGAAATTTTTTTATTAAATTAACATTTATCGCTTATTAATTTCTTAAAATACTTGGTCCTTATTTTAGTTATTATACTGGGAATACTATAGTTTATAAATACATTCCACGGATTAAGATTTTTTTATTCAATTTGCATATTACGCTTTTTCCAAAAGAACCATATGTAAAGAATACGTGTATTTATATTATAAATAATCATCATTCCAGATCCTATCGTACAGCAGATCCTATTTCATCCTATATCATAATATGCTATCGCTGTAGGCCAATCTATTTCTTATGGACCTTTCCGTTGAAAGGAAATGCAGGTATTAAAGAGTGATAAATGAAGGTATCTAGAATTTTTTGGATCTATTAAAACAGCATATTTAAGAAAAACTACATATATCTGTTTTTCAAAGAAAAAGGAGATTTCTAAATGCAACTTACGCCAGACAGCTGTTTCTCAGAGAAGGAGGAGGAGGTCAGATGGTATCAGTCTTGTGCTCTATCAGAAGTGAATGACGAACGATTTATTTCTGACCTTTGACGAGAAGCCAATTCAGTCCTCGCTTACGTAATTTATTACCCTTCTTCTCTTCTCCCTCCACTGCGTGTTATGTCAATTTAAATCTGTGAAGAAAGTTTTCAACGTTTCTTTTTTAAAAAAACTTCCCAGAACAGCAGTCTTCTGACCGTTGTGTAATTGTCTAGAAGCCAAGCCAAGGAGAAAATTGCCACATCGAACGCAAATTAAGACAACATGAAATGAGTGTACCAGAAGCACAGTATGCCAACTTCCAAGTTTAAAACTCTCTAAAGTTAAGCCTTATATCGTTGCTGATTTGATTATCAGAGGTTTGGTTTTTTTAAACCAGCATCAGTAACAGGTACAAGTTTACCTAATTTGTAGCACAAATTAAAGTTCGATCCTAATCCAACAACCATCTTGATTGTCCATGTTAGAATTGACAACCTTTTTTGCTAAAGCCTTATATAAATTTTAAATCTCTGTTTTCTACTTTTTTCGTTGCTAGATAATTTAGTTTATTTCCATCAATGGAAAGTTACTTTTGGCCTACATATATAGCTTATATTTTCTTAAATAATAATTTGTAATATTAATAATATTCTACAGTTCCTGCTTTGATGTGTTCGAGCCAATACAGTCTTTTGTTCTTAATTAACTTATAAAAAGCAAAGCAGCAAGAAATTAATAAAATTTTTAATACGAATTAAAAGTTTCTGCTTGGGGTCAACAATGCAGTGAGGTATAAAACATAAAACATAATATAAGGTATAAAAAGGATAAATAATATAATCAAATAACATAAGGTATAAATCAGAAAACTGCCTTTGCCATTCTAAGAACTAAATTATAGCTAATTGTTGCTGAATTTATATATACTTTCGTGCTGGACATTATAAGGTCAGTTGAATAACACTTCCAAAATTCTGGTCTCAACCTCACTCAATTCAACCTCATTCCAAACTATAATCAAACACTTACAGTCCAGCTATTTCCTTTTATCACTAAACAGCTACTACATTTTCCAAGGATAGCCAAGATTCTGAGTTGCTTGATTCACGTTTCGATAGTGATCTGACAGCTGACATTCTGAATTTAAGTATCCAGCAAAGACGTTAGGTACATACTTTTCTTTTTTTCTTAACTGAATATTTTGTATGCTTCTGAATAGAGATTTGTATACCTGAAGCCAGGAAAGACAGATTAAAGCTAACCTAAGGCAAGTTGTAACCGTAACTAATTGTGTCCATGTTCCTGTATTGCAAAAAGATCTTAAAATAAACGTCATAACTTGTCCAAATATAATTTCTTCGGATGTAAAATGGTTTCATTGATCAGATTTAGTTCAGCTTATATTTACCCAAGAAGAAAAAATAGCAAACATTCTAAATAGTCAGCTAGTCTTCCTTGAATTCAGAATCTGCAAACATATTATTACTTACTATACAGGATAACCATTCATCCAATAACCAATTTGCATTCGAACTATAAATGTTTAAAACATTCAGGATCTGATTCCATAAAAAAATGTTTTGAGCCCCTTAATTCTTATTCCAAAATCCTTTTAATAGGTCCTTATTTAACAGTGCATAAATTTGTAAGCAAACGCTGAACATAGTTTTTTAAAATTATTTTTTGAAATCTAACTTCTAAAATTGGCATTAATATTATTGTTCTTTCAGTATTACAGTTCTTTCAGTTTATGAGATATAATATTTATACTAATACATTTTTGAGAACCTTGAGCAGCCAACTAACTCCACCATACCATATGACAGTTATATTTTATGTTGTTGCATTGTAAACGAATAGATGTGATAAATAAAATATTCTTCAAACTGACTGTCTGTAACCATCATTTATTTATCAAGCATGCCACAGCGGGCAATGGATATTGAATTACATTTTTTTTCACTGGCGGGCATTAGCCATTTTAGGCTTTGGCCACTGCTAAGGCCAGAAGCGGTAATCATTTTATTATGGAAGCACCTTATATGCGACCACCATTGGCTCCTATGAAGGGACAGACAATTTTACACCTACATCTTCTCCGGCATTCGAACCCGAGCCCGTTGGTATGTCAATTACAGTCACTAACCTCTTTCTTGTCTGTGTGGCACGGTTGAACTGCAGAGATTAAGTATAAATATAACCCTTTTCAAACAGCTTTCAAGCAAATATTTGATATCCCTTCCCTTAGATATATATTCCTCGAATGCTTTGTCATATTCAAATAGCCTAACCAAGATAATATTTCAGTGCATAGCTTCTCGAATAAATAGCTGCTTGATTCAATAGAATGGTTCTGCTAATTTACTATTCAGACAAAGAGTTATGAATTTCTTATTCTCCGTTGATTCATTTCTCACGTATGAGTTTCATTTACTTCTAAAATGAACATAATAATTTTAAACTAATATAATATACATAGCATGAAAAAAAAGATTTTTATTAAAAAAATCTGTTACATTAGCAGTTATTTCGATAGTAAACATAATATACTTATTTTACATTTCTTTTTATGATTTCAGACTAGAAAAATAATTTAACAAAATTCAAAAAGTACTTTCTTACCTTCAGCGAAAAAATGTTAATGCTTCAGCTTAAATACTCTGTTCTCTAATTTAAAGTAGCATACTTCAGACATTTCATCCGCAACCTTATCACCCGTTCACTTTAGTCTTCCAATTATTCTCAGAAATATCTTCCATTTGCTTCATCCAGGAGGGTCATCAGATACCAACTGCTCAAAGTCTTCCTGACACGAATAAATAAACCAATGTTTTATCGCAATCGCTAAGGAGTCTGCAGAATTTTCTTGCTTGATTTGGAGTTTTCTACAGAACGTCACAATGAACGCAGTTTGGAACACAATGAGAAAAAAACAGCATACATTTAAATGGATTGAAGAAAGATGATGCGTCGACATAAGATCTGATTTTATGTGATATGTGATATTTTTAACGCAGATCCCATTCATAAAAAAAAAAAATCATCATTTTCGCTTTTGATGTACTTGCTCATCTAAATAAACAGATAAAGAAGCAACACCCCCCTCCATATTGAGTAAATTTTTCCACGATATCTAGAGAGACTCCAGTCATTAATTCTTTTATTTTCATTTTACTAAATTTTCAATTATATAATCTAACTAATACTTTAAGTGTACTTGTTAGAATTGAAGGAATTATTATTTCAAACCCTCTCTCAAGAAATGAATGTTGATTAATTGCTTTCTGTTTATTTTTTCCCATTTATAACCATGCTCTTAAAATTAGTTTTTTAATCATTTTATTAATTCATTCAGTTTAATTTACAGTTAACGGCATTTTATTCATCTATAAAATTATATGAATACTTCTAGGAACTCTCTAACTAATAATTCTTATTTATTTAACTAGTAATAAGAAAACCATAAGGGTTAATGACTTTTTTTTAAAAGCAAAAACAGATCATTGTGTATTTTAAAGTCAAGATGACATCCAATTCAGCAACTTTGTAATTAGTTCGGTCACTATAGCAAAAATCATATCTGATTTATTAAAGAACTTTTTATATCAGCGTAAGATTGAATTATATTAATGCTAAAGCTGAAGTTTATTCTACTGTTTGGATGGACCGCAATGAAATTAGTATTCTTCGCTCTCGATTTTCATGTTTTCTGGATATAAATAAGTACACATAAAATATAAATATAACTACATCCAACCACTTTATGAGATATAATATTTATATTAAATTAATGGTATTAATGTCCAGAGTAATGTTCCCAGATTTGTATGAGATATAATTTCGGCATAAGATTTCAAGTCTCTTTTAGATTTCTTCATGTTCTTTACTGAGAAAGAGCATTATTACTTTTCAGGATCAAAGTCTATTTTTAAGCATATTTTTGTCCTTTAGTTTAATATGTGTTACGTGTGTAGAGTCATTAGGTAAAGGGGGAATAAATACCTTATATACCTCTTTTCAAAGGGCGGCTGGGGATTAGAGGACCCATTCGGCAAATCCTGGTAGTGAAGAATCATCAACCATCACCTTTTAGTGCAGGCGCCACTGTAGAGTCATTACGATTTTTTTTTGGGGGGGGGAAGCAGGAGACCTGAAAAATGAACAGTGTCCTAGCCGGGACGCGATCCTGGACCTCTCGAATAAGCGTCGAGTGTGATACTGTTACACAGAACTCTTACACAGATACTGTTACACAGAACTCTTACACAGATACTGTTACAGGTGACAGGTGAATGCAGGGCCCGGACACCCGGACGGCTTAATATGACAAATCGGGTGTCGTCCGGTACCCGCACCTATTTAGAACAACACAACCTTGGTGACTTCCTGAGAGGGCTGCATCGGAAATATATTAATGGAGAATATGTGGTATTGACGTGGCCAAACAAGGGCGTGTGCATATATATGCTTCAGTACACAATTAATAAAAAGTTTCATACACAGGTACATTGGTGGTATAGGTACATTGGACACATATGTATATTGGTCTAAGTGGTTAATGAGATAGGCAAACAATAAACACTTATACATTAAAAGAAATGAAACACTGACGCAACTGGCAACAACAGATACTGTTACAGGTGACAGGTGACGGAGGACGAGGGCGCCTGATGTTTAACATAGGTAAACAGGCATATGCCCCGCGTCCTCCACTATCTAGTGGCAACAACTCCCTGGAGCCTCATCAGGCTGCCTCGGGAGTATATTTGAATCTTAATGAGAAAGTTACATGGCCATACAAGGACTGTTGACATAGTCTACATTACGAGTGATGTGTATGACATTTGAAAGTTTTAGGATTACAGTGGTTACAGGAAATCTAAAAAAAAAAAAAAAAGGGGGGAAGGTGGCATAATAATGTAAGACATAATACACATGAACAACATTGAAACGCATAACACTTATAGACATTACAGTACCACACAAAACACATAAAATACACAGAACATACTCACAGACTACTAAGTAGAGTACTAATAATGCATTCATATGTGATGCTGTTAGAACATATAATGCTGGGCAGATGTAATACTATGTGACATATAAAAACGTGTAATAAAACTGGTAAGATCACAGGATGCAGAGCAGAGATAAAGCTGTGATACTAGTGAAAACACATGGTGCATGCCAGATATAAAGCACGCGTGTAACATTGCCAGATATAAAGCACGCGTGTATACTAATTAAAACACATGATACAGGGCAGTTTTAAGACAGATAATAACATAAGTTGCAAATAATTATTAGCGATGAACTTTTGGTTTACATATGAAAACAGATGGTGGTATATGAGTAATAATACTTATGGGGAGACAATTCATAGTGCATGAACCTAGGCTAACACATGATAGGAGTACATGATGCAGAGCAAATATGTTAATAGTATACCACACACATTATACAGAGCAAATATAGAGCTAAATAAAAGACATGATTCAGGGCAACTATAATACTGATAAAAACACATGACTTTGGGCAGAGATGATGCTATTTAAAAGCACATGATGCAGGACAGAGAATACTAATGAGAAACACATGATGCAAGCATGAATATGATACACATGGTACAGGGCATATGTGTTATACTAATAGAAACTCATGATGCAAAGCAGATATAATACAAATAGGAGCATATGATACAAATAAATATTAGGGTAAACAGTTGGTGTTAGAACATATGATAGTATGTGTGTAGTAATATTTTATTGAGACAACTCATAGTACAGGAGCCTAGGCGAACACATAGAAACACTTTATGCAGAGCAGGTATGATGCAGAGCAAATATAGAGCTAATTAAAAAACGTGACATAGGGCAGATATAATACTAATAGAGATACATGAAAATACATTATGCAGTGCAGTTTAAATTCTAATGAACACGTATGATGCAGATCAGATATGATAAAAAAAAATGAAAAAGCCACATGCCGCTGAGCAGGTATAGTATGATTAAAATCATTTGATGCGGGACAGATATGATACTAATGAATATACATGATGCAGAACAGATAAATAGCTTATAGGCTCATATGGTACAGATCGTATGTTGTACTAATAGGAACGCATGATGTAAAGTAGATGTAATACAAATGAAAATATTTAATGCAGACAAATATTTGGGGTAAACAGTTAGTGTTTCACATAATGCATATGATAGTATAAGTGTAAAAAAAAAAAAAAAAAAAAAAAAAAAAAAAACTTAGGATTAGGTAACTCATAGTGCACGAACTTAGGCTGTCATACGATTGAAACACATAATGCAGTGAAAATATGATATTAATGTATATACATGATGCAGAACAAATATAGAGCTAATTAAATGTTAAATGACATGGTGCTGAGTAGATGCAGTACAGGTGAAGAACGAGTAAAAACACCTGGTACAAAGTAAATATGATGCCAATAAATACACATGGTGCAGAGCTGATATGATACTAATAGCAAAGCAGATATAATACGAATAAAACACAAAAGGAGGGAATAAATACTTTATACATGTAAACGCACAAAAGCGTTTTCTTGTTTTTAGCAAGTTTGTCCAGTTTGTTTCTCTGGCCAGCTTCCATTACCGAGTTTAAGAGTTGGATATTAAGAGTTTCAGAGTTTACGAGTTACATGGACGTTTACATGAGTTTTTCCTGATGTTAAAATCACAATGGAGCAAATATAATTTTGATAGTTTTGGAATCTTCTAATTTAAACAGAGAAGCTGGAGCTTATTTAGGAACTTTTTGATGCTATTATTACTCTTATCAGCAGAAAACTTCCGTTTTATAAAATTAAACAGCTCGGGTCGTCTTTATCCTTCAACCGCAACTAAACGTTCCTCAATAATACTTCAATAACACAATTGCTTCTTTGACACCTTGACATAGTATGCTCATTGTTATACAAATTTAAGATTATTTTCTATTTCTAGGCTCTAATCTAGATTTATTTTCATCTGAAACGACAAGAAAAATCGTTTCACTTTCAAAAAAAAAAAATCTCAGATTTATTGCCAGCGCAAGGTTTAATTTTTAATTTTTAACTGCTTGAATTTTAACTTGTAGAGTTTAGCAGGTTCACTGTTAAGTGTTTTTTTTTTTTTTTTTTTTTTTTTTTTTTTTTTTTTTTTCAGTACGAGAATTTATAAGCTCTAAACTATATTATTTAATTTATTTCTTTTAGTTTAACAATAAACGTTTATCATTAAAGTTTAAAAATGAAAAAGCTAAGAATACAGATTTTAACATTACATAACATAAGTGTTCTAATCGACAAACATGTGACACGAAAATGTCGGGCTGCATATATATCTTCTTTCTAAAGATATACGAATATCTTCAGATATATCTTCTTTATAAAGACATTTCTAAAATCTAAAGGTAAAAAAAAATCTGTTTTGCCCCATCATTTGTTATCTATCTTAAATTCCCAAACAATAATAAAATAAAAGTAGTAATTTTCATATCTCTATACATAATCATTCAAATTAAAATTCAATACCGCCTTCATGAATAAGCAGCTGAAGAAATGTCATTACTTTATGATAGTTACTGGTCGTCAACTTTTATTTGCAGATATATCGCATTATATCAATTAAATTAAGAAGTAATACATTTAGTTCCAATAACTTTCTATAGATATTGCTAATGTTGATAAGTCATCCTTAACTAATTTTATTGATCGTCCATAGAATTTAAATCGTCTTACTAATCAATATTCATAG